ATAGGGCATGGGCAGGAGATATTTGCTGAAAGGTACATTGAGGGGAGAGAAGGATGCCTACACCGACGCCTTTACAGTTGTTGGGTCTGGGAGTATGGGAGAATTGTAGCCAACCAAAACCTAAAGAGGCAGGAGTAGCGCTATCAGAGACGGAAAGCCAGGTCTCTGTGAGTGCTAGTAGTGTGTGTGTGTGTGTGAGTTTGAGATGAAAAGTTTGTGTATGGTTGTTGATTTTAAATTACTGCAGACGGAGCGGGCATTCCAAAGTGCACGCTGAATGTTGGTAAGTGAGGGTAAAGGGCAGGGTATTGTGATGAGGTTTGTGGGGTTTCTGGTTGTCTTAGTGTGTGTAGAGAAGGTGAAGGGCCCTGGATTGGGAGAGAGATATCACCAGCTGCTAGAAGAAGGAGGAGAGATAGTGACAGGAGGTGTGAGTGGGTTTTATGTGCATGGTGTCTAGGATGAGATCGAGTATGGGTAGAAGAGAGGGAGCAGAAAAATGAGTGCAGTGCATGAGTGTCAGGATTACAAGTTGATCCAGCATGCAGTAGTGTGTCACACCTAGGAATAAGGATAGCGTATAACCGGACTTAACGTCTCCAAGAATAGTCAAAATACTAGCCTGGGTCAGGGACACAGAATCAGACACAAAGATGAGGGAAAGCCAAAAGTCAAGGATACCAGATATCAGGGAAGTCAAAACAAAGCCAAAGTCAAAACCAGAAAATAAACGCTCATGAACGCACTCTCGAATTACCATCAGGATGAAACCACGACAGGGCAATGAGCAAAAGGAGAATTGGGTTTAAATAACCCTCCTGTGGATCTGATTGGCCATGACCGGCCTTTGACCCCAGAAGCAATTACCAGGTTTCCATGTGCATGATTGCTGCTCAGCACAGCACTTTTCCTGTCAGGATGGTAATGCTGCTTGGCACAACTTTTCCTGTCTGGACGGTAATGCTGCTTGGCACAACTTTTCCTGTCTGGACGGTAATGCTGCTTGGCACAACCTTTCCTGTCTGGACGGTAATGCTGCTTTGCACAACTTTTCCTGTCTGGACGGTATATGCTGTGAACCACATTTTTAGGTGCGGATGAACACATGACAATGAGTTGAGAGAAGGAGGTAGGGTAGCAGAGAGGGGTAAATGTAAAGGTTGTTGGGAGGATGAGTGGGTGATTTTGATACTGAGGGAGAAGGAAGAAATAAAGAGGAGGAGAAGACAGAGCATTGCTAAGCTGGGAAAAAGTCAATTTGGAGAAATAATAATAATAATATGGAATATGAAAAACAGGAGTAGGAAGGGTAAATATTAAGTTTTAAGGGTTAAGAAAGTGCAGGGGTGTACTGATAAGAGGCAGTGTGTACACCTGCTGTCCCTTACGCCCATTCCCTTAGTACTGCAGGTAAGGTCAGCATTGTCTTAGTGGCCATTTGTAAGTATGTCTGTAAGTCACGTCTGCTGGCAACTTCCATTGTTCTTTTCTATTTATCAAATAAGAAAAATACAAACAAGAAAATACATTCATTAAAGGTCTCTGCATTTATTACTTCCTCGGTTCTATGTCACATTTTGTTTCTTCAAATGTTTATTATTCCAACAATTTTCTTGTGGGTAAATGCCCAAAGTGTCCCTATAGATGACTCACTAACACATAGGGTCGAGGCTCTCTGGACTATAGAGGCCGGCTGAGAATGATAACATTGGCAGTAACAGGAGTGGTAGAGACTGTCACTCCTCTTTTCCACAGAAATTTGACCGGAACACAGTTTGTAGCAGTGATACCTAACCTTAAGCTCAGCAGGTGTGATGGACTATATTTCCCATTATTCTCAATCAAAAGGCCACACTGCAGTTGGGGTATTATTTCTTGATGAGAATAATAATAATAATCACCCATTAAATACATGTAGCAGTTGCATACAAATGAGGGTGCAAATGATTGGCAGGTGTACATTATAGAATGACAGCAGAGGACTATGGTGAGCTAATTGGTAATTTCCTGTTCCTCTGCATTGTCTGACAGGAAGCAATTGGCATGTAGCGAGTGGACAGTTGAGTATTTAATGTCATATCCCAGCCTCTCTTGCAGAGCTATAGAGATTTGCGAGGCAGGGCTATAGAGATTTGCGTGGCAGGGCTTTAGAGAGTTGCGAGGCAGGGCTTTAGAGAGTTGTGAAGCATGGCTATAGAGAATTGCGAGACAGGGCTATAGAGAGTTGCGAGGCAGGGCTATAGAGATTTGTGAGGCAGGGCTATAGAGAGTTGCGAGGCAGGGTTATGGAGAGTTGCGAGGCAGGGCTATAGAGATCTGCGAGGCAGGGCTATAGAGATTTGCGAGGCAGGGCTATAGAGAGCTGCGAGGCAGGGCTATAGAGAGCTGCGAGGCAGGGCTATAGAGAATTGCGAGGCAGGGCTATAGAGAGTTGTGATTACAAAATAAACTGGACATTTTATACAAGTAAATGGTTTTATGGGCCAGTCTGCAATCTAAAATGTGACCCCCTAATATGTTAAATGAAAACTGTCACCATGTTTTTATTTCTGAAAAGATTTCATGTAACATGTTTGTATTAATCTGTAATCGATGCATAACAAAAAAGGACATTGAGATGGACATTCCCCCCATAGTTGCAAGGTAGGAGATGCACTGAAAAGGACTGGTTACTTACATGTATTACAAAATAATATATAGGAAATATATAGGCTTTTCACTAACAGGAGAATTCAAATTGAACTTCATATTTAAGGCCAACGTTCCTGAACTGGAAGCATACCTGACTCCCTTTAAATTCTCAGTTTTGTAAAAAACCATGTCAATCTTTTATTTGAAATAATAATAGTGAATTATAACTGTTGTTCTTTAATCACATTGTGGATAATAAATGAACTGTTTTGATTAATTTTTTTATTTCACACTAGTAGCACATTTCACACAAATTCAAGTATCCTGTAAAAATATAACAGTCTGACAACACAGTTTTTTTAAAGGACAAAAAGGCTCTGTAACGGAGCTCCTTGTACTCCGACTGAGTACCCTCCGTTGATGGATGCTCCTAACGCTTCCTGAGGACTCCCAAGCACTGCAGCAGACACCACAACCACCGCAGACTCCGCAACCGCCATATCTTGACTGGAGTCTCGCCGTCTTCCTTCCACCCTGGATCAGCTTCTGTCCTCCAGGACTGTGCGGTGAAGACCCCTCCTCCAAGGAGAGCGTGTCAGGAACAAGCTCTTAAAAGAGCTAAGTGACTCAAGCTCAGGGGAGCATGCAGAGCATAGCAATCCCCAGTGTGATTATAACAGCTCCCTCCAATAACGAGACAAGGCTATGTTTAGAGGGATCAAGAAGAACTGTCAAAACCTTTATTCCCTTGGGACCAGCCAATACAGTCACCACAATAACATTGTTGTGAAACCTCAATAAAATCACAAACAGTCAAAACCATCAAGCAACACACAGTGACTTATCACAACACAATGGCACATTTTTAAAGGGGTGGGGGAGACAATATTTAACAGAAAATATCTCACCTGCCTGCAGAATTAGCAATATGCAAATCTACCCGAATATGCAAATGAACCAGTCTTGCTATTCAGGTAGTGCATATTGCTGTTGCTACCAACAGAGGGCACTAGACAAGCTCCATAGCCAAACCCACCTAGTTGGTAGCAAACCTCAGCAGTACAGGAGAGCAGGCAATACATTACACAGTACACACACACACACTATAAACAATTACATTACACACACCCTGCACCTATAATGGGTACAGGGTGACTAAAACATAAGATAAATAAATAGTCTGTCTGAAGGTAGAATAGGGGCTTTAAAGCCAGATACATGAAAGAGTCATAGTCACAGGGGAGGAGGCTGGCAAGCAGGCCTCTCCAGGACCAAGTGGCGAAGGGCACCTCGTCACAGGCTCATATAATGCTCTATCTCTTTCTTTATTCCACAGCAGCAAAGAAAGGAAACTGTAAATATTAAAAGGGAAAAGGGAAAATCATGTACCCTAGAGGGTTAACCACCTATAACATGTTATCCAATAGGAATGCTCCTTGTACTACAATGTCCCATGTGACCTTCAGCCACTCCTCTTTCTTTGCTGCTACTTCCTCAGCTAAGTATCACTCCAACTTTCTCTGTATTAATTTTAGTATTTTATTTATCGTATATCACTGTATTTGCCTCGTTTATTCAGTGTATCTTTTGATATTTGTACTGTTTGTTTCCTACGGTATTTCTCTGAGAACCCTGCTGGCTCCCTCATTCCCTTATCACAGTTTTCCTATTCACCCCCCACCCCCCAAGCAGTCTGGTCGGTTTGTTTATTTCCCGACCTGTTTCTTTTGCCTGCACTGAACCTGTGACCCTTTCACTGCCGGGTACCGCTATTTCAGTGGCACCGGGGGGGGTTGTGGCTTCATGTGTGTGTGTGTGTGTGTGTGTGTGTGTGTTTGGCAAACGCCGCTCGCGCACATCACAAGTGCAAGTGGTGGCGGCCATCTTGCGGTTGGCAGTTTTGACACGCTTTACTACGCAGTCAAGATCGCTCATTTGGGGGCGGGGTTAAGCCGCATGGTTGGCTGTGTTGCTGGGCAGCCTCACTGTGTTCCCCAGTAGCCTTACTGCTATTCAGTTAATTAGGGTCAGTGCCTATATTCTTTTCACTGCCTCTATAGTACTGTTATCCAGCACTGTGGGTGTGAGCTCCCTACTCTATCCTAAGGATAATTTTTCTTGTTTCTTATTATATTTTTATATACACTTTATTATATTAATGTGTCATGCAGTCCCAAAAGGATTTGGAAGTTTCCGTTGCCTGTTCTTCCACTAGTATCACTAAATCCTCTACGCCCCTGGTGGTGGCCAGTCCACCCACACATGCCATACTGGATGAAGCATCGCAGGAGCAAATTAATTCGGAAAAGAGTTTGGATGCTACAATGGCAAAATCAGTGACACCAGGCACTTTTTCGGCTATGGGGACCATGTCTGATAATCTATCAGAACCAGAGCAAGAGGAGGCACTGAGCAAGTCCGATGATGAGGACTCTTACGACTCAGGCGCATATTATCCTAACAATGACTCCTTGTCTGGACCTGGGGCTGACCCTAAGGTCGGGGTGGATGACTCCACCCTCCTTGATCCTCAGGGTGAACCACTCTTTGACCCAGACAGCCTGCAGCATCCGAGATCTTCAGAGTGGTACCCATTGGATCCTGTGGCAGAATACATTGCCGCTTGCTTTGGAAAACTGCTTGACAAGGTTGCACAGAGAAAACTCAGTGCAGAATGCCCACGACCTAATCTCCCCGCTATGGCATGTACCACACCGGACGTGGAACCAAAAATCACCCAATTTGGGGCAAAACAGGGTGGAAGGCCAAAAAAGGCCTGGACTTTTCCTTGCGGAACTGTCAGGATAAAATCCTGGATGTCTTGGGACCAATTGCGAAAATTTTCGACATGGTCAAGATAGCCTTAACAGGTGAGGGGGTGGATCCAACGATCCATATGTTTGCTTTGTAATGCCAATACGGCATTAGCTATTGGCAGGCGCAAGACAATACTCCTAAAAATAGAACCTAAGGTAGTGAATCTAGCTATCTCAGAGCCTGGACCACAGGCAAAAGGCCTCCTATTTGGAGACAACTTTGAGAAGGAGTTAGGCACATACCTAAGGGCCTTTAGGACACTTGATAAGGCGCAAGTTCTCCCAGAAAATTCCTCCCGGGGTTCATACCGGGTTTCCAGAGGCTCTGATCACGCCAGGTTTCAAACACCTGAGCCCAAACCCAATTAACCGGTTTTCAAGGTCAAGGTAGACCTTGGCAGTCTCGCAGACCCAGAAGTTACTCCTATGGTAGACGGCTTTATGGTAAGTTCAATTTCATGCCACTTGCCTACAGTGGCGCAGGTTACCTCAGATGCCTAGGCCCTTCAAACAGTCCTGGATTATTCCATAGATTTCGTACAATACCCTGTTCAGAGGTTTTTACCCAACCGCATCGTGTTCTCAGCATATGACCGGCACCTGGTGTCGCAAGAGATACAGTTCCTGGCATCTAAGGACGATATTTCAGAAATTCACCCCAAACCCCAGGTTTCCTGAACAACCCCTTCCCAGTCCCGAAGAAAGGTGGGGTCATCAATCTACGACCTCTAAATGCTTTTGTCACATATTACCATTTCAAGATGGGGGGTATTCACGCTCTTCGAGACCTGCTCCTTTTAGGAAATTGGATGGTCAAAATCGACTTACAGGATGCATACCTCACCGTTCCGATGGCCAAGGACTCCCAGCAATTCCTGCAATTTCAGTGGGAAAAGACCATGTGGTGATTCAATTGCCTTCCATTCGGTCTCTCTTCTGCCCCATGGTGCTTCACAAAACTACTGAAACCAGCAGTGGCCCTTCTGCACAGAAGAGGAGTTCGCCTCATAATATACTTGTACGATATCCTTGTAATGGCACAGGACCCTCACATGCTCCACGTACACCTGGCCTAGGCGATGACTCTCATGAGCAACCTAGATTTCCTTCTCAACTGGGAAAAGTCGGTCTTCAAACCTTCTCAATCCATAGAATTCCTGGGATTCACCATAGATTCCTTGTCCGGGGCACTCTTACTACCACACTCCAAGATCAAGTCCATCAAGAAAGAGATCCGTTGGATGCTAGCCTGTCCTGTTCTGATCTTGAGACAGCTGGCCAGGATCATTGGCCTTCTCTTAGCATCGACTCATGCCATTTTCCCGGCCAGCTCCATTACAGAGCACTTCAACAACTGAAAGCCAAACGCCTTTGTTTGGATCATTCTTATACAGACTCTCTTCCTCTTGACTGCACAGCCAAAGAAGAACTTCAATGGTGGCTACAACACATGGAGGTGTGAAACGGTCAAGCAATATTTGGAACTGCTCCGGATTTCATCATAGAATCGGATGATTTCCCGGGGGGGAAATGGTCCCTGGAAGAACAAGGAATGCATATCAATTGCCTCGAACTGCTGGCAGGGTCATTTGCCCTAAGGAGCCTCTTGGGTGTATCAACCAATTGATCAATACTTTTATGGATGGACAACATATCAGTGGTCAGGTACATCAACCACATTGGGGGCACGAAGTCAACAATTTTGGCAATCCTAGCAACGTAATTCTGGCAATTCTGCCTGGATCGCAATATATCTGTGCAAGTGGAGAACAATCCGGGGATGTCCAGCCTAGTGGAGTATTGGATCTCCAGATACTTACAGGATTCCAGCGATAGGCGGCTGAACCCTTCCGTTTTTCTCTGTTTGCAGTCTCTTTGGGGCCCTCTGGAGATTGACCTATTCGCATCACGGTTGAACTCCCAACAACTGAGTTTTTTCATCTTGAAATCAGATCCAGAGGCTCTTGCAGCAGATGCCTTCCGGCAAACATGGCCGAATATTTGCCATTACGCTTTCCACCCTTCTATCATAGCTCGGACACATCTACAGCTCAGGCGTTATCGGACCTCCTTGATCCTCATAGCCCATTCTGGACAGCTACGCCATGGTTCCCTACACTCATGGAAATGTCCATAGACTACCCTAGATTGCTCCTGGTCTTCTCCAACCTATTGCTGGATCCCAACGGGAACCCACATCAACTTCTCCTCCAGGCTATTAGCATGGCTCCTTTCCGGAGACTCTGTTATGTCACTAACGTTCCAAGAACAACTTTGGACCTCCTGGCGGGAGCTTTGGCCCCAGAAACAAGGAAATCCTATGTCCATGCCTGGAACTTGGTGTGTGGAACAACACGTGGATCCCATATCTGCACCTGCGAGTCATGTTTTTAGTTTCCTCACTTCACTTTTGACCACGGACTAGCATACCGTACAATCAATATATATAGATCAACCATCTCGGCAGGCCACCAGGGTTGGAACGGATTTCCAGCAGGTAAACATCTTTGGTATGTCAACTCCTTCGTGGCATCAGATTTACACGTCCTCCCCGTTCTAAATATTTCTCCTTATGGGAGGTAGAACTTGTCCTTCGACTATTTGAAAATTGGCCTCAAAATAAAGATCTTTCGTTCAAGCAGCTCTTGGCAAAATTAGTCATGTTGTTTTATCTCATCTCTTGCAAACGTGTCTCAGACGTTTGTGCACTGGACATTACAGCACGCTCCTTTACTCCAGATGGCATCTCCTTTGACATTTCAAGGCGTACGAAAACATCCATTACCTCGGTCTTTTACCCAGCTCTTCCATATAATGTTAATCTCTGCCCAGTGGCCTGTCTCAAGGAATATGAGAAGTCCTCTTCAGTACGTGATCCTCAATATGCTGATTTATTTCTAGCTTTCAACCTGTTTCTACAATTACCTTATCTCGTTGGGTCAAATGGATCATGACGTCTGCTGACATCGACACTTCCATATTTGGAGCACACTCTGTTTGAAGCGCTACGGCATCTAAAGCCTTAGGCTGCAGGCTGGAAGACCTCCTCCATGCTGCTGGTTGGTTCCGGGGATCTACTTTTCGGGAATTCTATTTTCGTCCAGTTCTTCAATTTTCCACTACGGTGGTTGCACAGCTTTGAACGAGCATAAAATGAGCCTCCGTGTCCTTTAATTAAATTACCAGATTTTTCTAATTTCATGACGTAAAGTCATGATTTTTTTAAAGACACAGAGGCAAGTATTATACCACCCGATACAGGTATGTTACATCCTTTCCCAGGGTATATGTATTATTTTTAAAAGAAGTATGCAGTCTTCATAGTATTGTTGTTGTTCACCAAATTGACTCATTTCTATTGACGTTATTGTTGACGAATCGGATATACTGTTATGATAATTGATACTTTGTGGATAGGATTCCAGGAGCATATTTTACCACTTATTTCTCTGTCTTTTCAGCCTCCTAGTTGGTTTCACACTAGTCCACATCGGTTCTTAACATGTTCAATCAGAGGATTGCAAGTTTTCCACAAAGTTCCATTGTCGGATCATGCGGGAGTCGCTGTCCTTCGCATCTAGTTGGTCGTACATTGCGGTCTTGTAGAGATGTTCATCGGCATCATTAAGAACGAGGAGTGGCTGAAGGTCACATGGGACATTATAGTACAAGGAGCATTCCTATTGGATAACATGTTATAGGTGGTTAACCCGCTAGGGTACATGTTTTAACCTTTTTCCTTTGATTATTTACAGTATGCTTTCTTTGCTGCTGTGGAATAAAGAAAGAGATAAAGCATAATACTTGCCTCCGTGTCTTTTACGTCATGAAATTAGTAAATACTGGTAACTGTATTATAATATTACTGACATCCACTTAATCCACTACTGTAGGAAACCAGCAGGTGGCAATGTCCTAACACATAAAATAAAGCTGCATTCAAACCAGGTTGTTTACTATTGGTAAAATACACTAAGTCATTTCAGTTACTTTGGCCTTAAAAGTGAAATGACTGAATTTCAAACAAGTCTCATTTTAGTGGTTAGCCCCGAGCCTGACCCATCATGTTTCCCAGGACACAGGGAAGTCCTGCCTGTAAACATGATTAGTATCTACTGCTGCACCTTAAAGTACATTTTGGAGTTATTAACTAACCCAATATATTGTCAGGATCACTGAATTACACATTTTAGACTAAAATAGTTGAGCTGGAAACAGGTATGTCCGAGAATGCTTGAAATTAAGCTACCCTAAAAAATGATTTATGTCACAAAGACAGATCCTTTATGAAATACTCATTTTGGCTGTGCTGGAATTTTACTAAAATCCTAAACCAGTCAGAGGATACACTGATACTTCCTGTAGATTTCCTACGCCTGACACCTCTAGACACTGGGTGGAGCCAGGCCCGGACTGGCCATCGGGCAAATGCCAGGTGAGCCACAGGCCAAGGCCGGCAGGAGAGATCAAGGGATTTCTCCTGCCGGCCCTAAGAGGGACCACGGTTCCTTCATGGGCTGGAGAAGAGATTCGCGGGCTGGTACCTGAGTGGAAGATAATCCAGGCACGAAGCTGGGCAGCCTGTGTCTCGTGAGCACCGATATTAGCAGAGCGTTGCAATGATAACCCGTGACCACGCTCTGAATACCGGCGCTCGCAAGAGTCAGAGACATGGTCTGTACCCTGCAGAAGTACAGACCAAATAACCACCAGGGAACAACGTGCTCCCTCCCTCTGCAAGGTTATAAGGGGGAGGGGGAGTTAATGTGATATATTACTAAATTTATATTTTATTGCTAAATTAAAGAAGCCGCTATCCTATCACTTGCACCTACACACACCTCCTCCCAGGTGTCCCTCACTATACCCACTAATATACACCCGCTACACCCCCTTATATACAGGGAGTGCAGAATTATTAGGCAAGTTGTATTTTTGAGGATTAATTTTATTATTGAACAACAACCATGTTCTCAATGAACCCAAAAAAACTCATTAATATCAAAGCTGAATATTTTTGGAAGTAGTTTTTAGTTTGTTTTTAGTTATAGCTATGTTAGGGGGATATCTGTGTGTGCAGGTGACTATTACTGTGCATAATTATTAGGCAACTTAACAAAAAACAAATATATACCCATTTCAATTATTTATTATTACCAGTGAAACCAATATAACATCTCAACATTCACAAATATACATTTCTGACATTCAAAAACAAAACAAAAACAAATCAGTGACCAATATAGCCACCTTTCTTTGCAAGGACACTCAAAAGCCTGCCATCCATGGATTCTGTCAGTGTTTTGATCTGTTCACCATCAACATTGCGTGCAGCAGCAACCACAGCCTCCCAGACACTGTTCAGAGAGGTGTACTGTTTTCCCTCCTTGTAAATCTCACATTTGATGATGGACCACAGGTTCTCAATGGGGTTCAGATCAGGTGAACAAGGAGGCCATGTCATTAGATTTTCTTCTTTTATACCCTTTCTTGCCAGCCACGCTGTGGAGTACTTGGACGCGTGTGATGGAGCATTGTCCTGCATGAAAATCATGTTTTTCTTGAAGGATGCAGACTTCTTCCTGTACCACTGCTTGAAGAAGGTGTCTTCCAGGAACTGGCAGTAGGACTGGGAGTTGAGCTTGACTCCATCCTCAACCCGAAAAGGCCCCACAAGCTCATCTTTGATGATACCAGCCCAAACCAGTACTCCACCTCCACCTTGCTGGCGTCTGAGTCGGACTGGAGCTCTCTGCCCTTTACCAATCCAGCCACGGGCCCATCCATCTGGCCCATCAAGACTCACTCTCATTTCATCAGTCCATAAAACCTTAGAAAAATCAGTCTTGAGATATTTCTTGGCCCAGTCTTGACGTTTCAGCTTGTGTGTCTTGTTCAGTGGTGGTCGTCTTTCAGCCTTTCTTACCTTGGCCATGTCTCTGAGTATTGCACACCTTGTGCTTTTGGGCACTCCAGTGATGTTGCAGCTCTGAAATATGGCCAAACTGGTGGCAAGTGGCATCGTGGCAGCTGCACGCTTGACTTTTCTCAGTTCATGGGCAGTTATTTTGCGCCTTGGTTTTTCCACACGCTTCTTGCGACCCTGTTGACTATTTTGAATGAAACGCTTGATTGTTCGATGATCACGCTTCAGAAGCTTTGCAATTTTAAGAGTGCTGCATCCCTCTGCAAGATATCTCACTATTTTTGACTTTTCTGAGCCTGTCAAGTCCTTCTTTTGACCCATTTTGCCAAAGGAAAGGAAGTTGCCTAATAATTATGCACACCTGATATAGGGTGTTGATGTCATTAGACCACACCCCTTCTCATTACAGAGATGCACATCACCTAATATGCTTAATTGGTAGTAGGCTTTCGAGCCTATACAGCTTGGAGTAAGACAACATGCATAAAGAGGATGATGTGGTCAAAATACTCATTTGCCTAATAATTCTGCACTCCCTGTACATCTTTATATAGACACCCTACACACTCACTACACCCCCTTATATACACACACCCTTATATACACTCCCTATGTCCCCTTATATATTCACTACGCCCCTTATATACACACACTACACAAACTCTATACCCCCTAAACATACACTACACTCCCTGCACTTACACAGGCTATACCCCTTGTACACACACACTCTGTACACACAGTTTTTTCCCTATAAATACATTCTATAGCCCTATACACACTCTACACCCCCTTTACACACACTACACCCCCTATACACCCACATCTGCACTACAACCCCTATACACACACACTACACCCCCTATACACACACATCTGCACTACAACCCCTATACACACACTAAAGCTCCAAGATAAACACAATGCAACCCCCTGCATCGCCATGATCCCCAGACACTGACAGTGTGGCTTTAAAGAGTTATTACCTGACTGTGTCCTATGTTAGTCTGCAAATCATTTAGTCTATGCACAGGGTTATTCACCAAAGTGAGAAGTCAGAGTGGTTTTCACATTTAAGGTCAAACTAGCCAAAGTGGAATCATTCTCTAAGTCAGATGTGCTTCCAGATCAGCTACTCTGGCCTTAAATTTGAAATTCACTTTGAATTCACCTTGCATTTCCACTTTTGTAATTACCAGTGTCCTAGCCAAATGACATACCTCCTCCCAAGTGTCCCTATTTAGAAGGGACAGTCTCCATTTTGAGCCGAAATCCATCTTTTCTATCACAATGTCCCTTTTTTCTAAAAGTTCTATATTGGTGGTATCTAACAGAGCTCCACAGCAATAATACTCCCAGTAATGTGTCTGAGTGTATAACAGAGCTCCACAGCAATAATACTCCCAGTAATATGTCTGAGTGTATTACAGAGCTCCACAGCAATAATACTCCCAGTAATGTGTCTGAGTGTATAACAGAGCTCCACAGCAATAATACTCCCAGTAATGTGTCTGAGTGTATAACAGAACTCCACAGCAATATTACTACCAGTAATGTGTCTGAGTGTATAACAGAGCTCCGCAGCAATAATACTCCCAGTAATGTGTCTGAGTGTATAACAGAGCTCCACAGCAATAATACTCCCAGTAATGTGTCTGAGTGTATAACAGAGCTCCACAGCAATAATACTCCCAGTAATGTGTCTGAGTGTATAACAGAGCTCCACAGCAATAATACTCCCAGTAATGTGTCTGAGTGTATAACAAAGCTCCACAGCAATAATACTCCCAGTAATGTGTCTGAGTGTATAACAGAGCTCCACAGCAATAATACTCCCAGTAATGTGTCTGAGTGTATAACAGAGCTCCACAGCAATAATACTCCCAGTAATGTGTCTGAGTGTATAACAGAGCTCCACAGCAATAATACTCCCAGTAATGTGTCTGAGTGTATAACAGAGCTCCACAGCAATAATACTCCCAGTAATGTGTCTGATTGTATAACAGAGCTCCACAGCAATAATACTCCCAGTAATGTGTCTGAGTGTATAACAGAGTTCCACAGCAATACTACTCCCAGTAATGTGTCTGATTGTATAACAGAGCTCCACAGCAATACTACTCCCAGTAATGTGTCTGAGTGTATAACAGAGCTCCACAGCAATAATACTCCCAGTAATGTGTCTGAGTGTATAACAGAGCTCCACAGCAATAATACTCCCAGTAATGTGTCTGAGTGTATACCAGAGCTCCACAGCAATAATACTCCCAGTAATGTGTCTGAGTGTATAACAGAGCTCCACAGCAATAATACTCCCAGTAATGTGTCTGAGTGTATACCAGAGCTCCACAGCAATAATACTCCCAGTAATGTGTCTGAGTGTATAACAGAGCTCCACAGTAATAATACTCCCAGTAATGTGTCTGAGTGTATAACAGAGCTCCACAGCAATAATACTCCCAATAATGTGTCTGAGTGTATAACAGAGCTCCACAGCAATAATACTCCCAGTAATGTGTCTGAGTGTATAACAGAGCTCCACAGCAATAATACTCTCAGTAATTTGTCATTAAACTACAATAAATGTGTTTAGAAGTGTTTGTGTAAATAAGATACATTGTTCTTATAAATTACATTTCAGTTGTATAAATTGTTATTAGTAAGTCACAGAACATTCTTCAAAACGGCCCTGCCCCTGGCAACACCCCCATTCACACTAAGAACAGTCCTGCCCCTGGAGACATCCCCCATTCACACTCCAAAATTAAAGTGCCCCATCTTGGTCCATTTGGAAGTTGGGATTTATGAATCCAGGGCTGGCTGAGTGTTGGATTCTGGCAGTGGATATCTGTTTTACATATCTTATTCAGAGCCCTTATCTGGAATAATTACTGAGAATGCCTGGCCCAGCATTAGTCCAGGTCTTCAACAAAACTACTCATTGGCTGAAGCATGAGATTACTTAAACCCAAAGCAAAGAAAGGGCCTCCCCCCACCAACGAAGCGCTGGGAATGATTCCATATTGTGATGCACTGTCTCCAGTTAGTAGGTACGGTGGTTGGAGTTACAGAGGTGATTTATAAAGGTGTATGCTCAGCGGCTACCTCTGATGAGGAGGTGATTGGAAGTGATTCCTCACCTGAAGCCAAACCAGATATCACTCCCCCCCCCACCAAGTTTGCATACTGTGTAGGGTTTACGACAGCCCTTTCTGAAAGTTGGCCTGTTTGAGGTAGGTCTACATCACACCCCTTCCTGCACACTAGGGGTTTCCTAGAAACATCTAATTTGTTAATAATAATTGAATAGTGCTGCCCTGCAGTATACAGCATTCACATGCTGCAGCAAGGAAGCCCATTAATTCATCAGAGGAATCCTTTGATTATTTAACTGACACCCTCCCTCCCCCCATGCATTATGTAAACTCTACTTATTAGGTGGCAACGCTTTATCATGTACTGCCCACTGGCATGAAAAATCAATGGGTGTTCAAGAAAACATGATGGATCTGTCACCCACTCCCTTTCCATAAATAAATGTTCTGCAATCATCCGTAAACAATACGTTATCTATATTCTATTGTCCAGTCAAGGTTATTCACTATACTTGGTGATAAACTTCACATTTTAGGCCAATATAAAACTGGGGGCTCTCCTCCCAATTCCCAATTTAGTGAATAACCCTGTTTCTCTTTGTTTGCTGGTGAGCTATTTTTAAAGCTCTGTGTAGTTGTTATGGTGCCATGAGGGCCCTGTCGGCACTCTTAGCCAATGAACTAGCCTGCATTGCAGGTCGTGGCTCAGGAGAGCGAACGGAAGCTCCTGTTTAGGAGCCTCTCCTTTGTTGGTAGTGAAGGCTGAGAACTGTGCCCCTCTGACTCCATTCTAAAATAGTGTTTACTATATTTACGGTGGTGTTGGCACTTGACAGTGAAAGGTGCAGGTATTAAGGTCACTCTCTGATATAGCCTCTAATAATAATAAGTAATAATATATTACTCTCTCAACCCAAAGAAATAAAGTATGTCAAAAAAGGGAGAAAGAATTATGATAAATACAAGTCCAATGTACATAGATTGTATCATTTTCTCTGCATGAAATTGTATAGAACCTGTTTCTGCCCCCTGCTGTATATGGACAATCTAGTTTTTCTTTGATTTATTTCTTCTTGATTCTTTTTTTTTTCCCTTTTGCAATTAATTGAGTGCGTTATTACTTTTTCTAAAATAGTGTTTGACTATTAACCAAGGAGAGGAGCCAGGGCAATCTTGGCACCATAACCACTAAAGTGATCTGCAGTGGTTATGGTGTTTGGAATGTTCCTTGAATAGTCTTTTTTCTCTCAATAAGCAACTACTATAGAATGTTGCTAACAAATATGTAGACTATCATTATCGCAACGCTACCAATGGTGTCTTTTTAATAAAAGTTCTGTATCATTACAATCAGCTGTAGTGTTTATGGTGATTTATAATGCCCCTTTAAATAACCCAGTCTTTGCAATTTTTCTGAATGTTATTTACGATTGGAAAACACTAAAATGTCGCCTTTGATTAATTAATACCACAGCCTTTTACTATGACCCTCTTTCTGTTTGGCCAGCAATGGCTCTGTTTTGTAGGAAGGGTTCTCTCACAGACTCCCCTCCCCAGGTCGAGGTGACTGTTAAGCGGTGTGCGTCCTGCCCAGAATCCTGCAAGCCACTTTTTCTGCGCAAAAGCAGTATACGACAACACTTGCTGCCAAGGCTCTTTCGGGCAAAGAAATACAGCAATCGCTTCGCAAGCGGGAAGTGGAACTCCGTTGATGATGTTACCCTGCATTCTCTGAACTCGGATTGTTCTAAGTTACTAGGCCAAACTGGAGGTGAGCAGAGTGGGCGGCAGGAGACAGAAGATCTGCAGAAAAAAGAACTGTTAAATACCGGGGAATGGGCAAGTGTTAGTGTGCAGAATTGCACCGGTTAATGGAAGGGGGGAAAAAAACTGAACACCAAACATGGCAGCCCTGCATTGTCAGTTCAGATTGCCTTTGTAATCCCTGACATTATTAAGAAATTGACATTTCAGCAGCTGCAATTCTATGTAATGTTAGGAGCATTCTTCATGCACCGCTAGGCAGAATGAAGCACTCATAAAATATCACAAAAATACGGCCCCAGGAAATTCAAATCTCCACTGATTGCCCACTTAGTGCTGCTCAGAGCATAGTTTATCAATGAGTCCATGAGTTCAGCATGCTGGGCATTGAAGTCCAGTTATACATTAGGCAGTGCTCTATCACAATGATGACAGTAACACTCCTTCCCTTACTTCCTGCACGGACTGTAGCAACCTGTTTCATTTTGACCTCCCTGTTTACTTTGTGTTTTACAAGGGCTGCTGCTACCATAACATCTGGATCCAATTCAATCCAGCATTCTGCCTCTCCTACAGGAAGCTGCTAATCTTATAGGGGCCCCTGGTCCCAAAGCTGAATCTTACATTGGCCTTTTACAAAGGTCATTGTCACAGTCCCAGGGTGGTCCTTACTCTCTCTGTCCAGCACACCTGTGAGCAGGTAAGGATAACTGGGCATTACTGTGACTTGCATCTTCAAAGTGAATAAATAGAAATGATAAAATCTACAGACACACTGCTTGGAAAAAGGCTGTTGCTGTGTATTTATTTCTTTATTTTTCCCAAGCTTTGCGGTTTCAGCCTAAAATTCGTAATCCTTTTATGAACAGTTTGCTATTCACTGATTAATGAGTATGTCCCGTATGATAATTTCTCTGCCCAGATTTGTAAATTAAGGCAATTTTAATTTTTCTATGGTTCCATCCTAACAATATTATCTGAGCCAAACGGAACACTTATGTAATAAATGGCATTTAAGGATATCATCCCTGCTGTTTTTAAATACACAAACATCAATAACTACTTTCCCGATTATGCCTTGATGATGCATTCCTCGTGCCAGATCAAGTCAAGTTTGCAGCCGTGTGATACAATGAAGCGTCCAGTGATTGGTCCTGTGTCCGCGTTGCCATGGCAGCAGAAAAAGTTCCTAAACTGTTAATGTTGATTTTGAGTTCAAATGAATGGGGCTAGATGAAGCTATGCGCTTATTAAAAGCATGCTAATTGTGATGAGCTCAATTGGATTACAGTAAGTTCTCCGTGTTTCCTGTAGGTGATTATTCTGTATAAATTCCTCTAAATTAGAACAGCTATGAATGGAGTGTCTGTACAAAGGGCTATTTGATCAGGAGCCTTAACGGTCTAATTATTAAAGTTGCGTCATCAGGGCCATCCTAGGTTCTTTCACCCGCTACATCCTCTGCGCGAGAGCTTTGTGTTCAACCTGCACAAATAGTTATTTTCCTTACCCTGATCACATAGAGTAAATCTGCTATAGCAAACATTTTATAACCTACCATCGCTAGTAGCTGTAACTAACTTACCTCTACAGCAATATTTAATCCATCAGTGGGTAACCGTAATCCAGGGCATGGCGTTTATCAATGCCGGATTTTATCCATATATTGAGCAGCCATGCCACCCCAGATATCCAATTTATTGTGTAAGTACAGGAGAGAAGTGAGGCAGGGATGGGACAGTGGGGGAAGCACTCCATAAAGGTGTGCATGTGCACCATGCCAGCCGCCGGTACTGGTCGTCCTCCATTAAATGTTACCCATGTGCAGAGTGCTGCTGACGCGTTCTCATAAACGCAGAAAAGCCCAATGTTCATTTTATCTTGGTGCTTTTTCTGGCATTCCCAGAGAACAGACCTGGGAATGTCTCTCCACATCCAGGATAGCTGAGTGATACAAAGTGCTCCTGAAAGCAGGTACTTCCCACCAAACCATAGAGAGGTGCTCATGTACCATTTTATCTATACACCGCATATGGAATACATGCAATCATTTCAGAATCCGGTTTCCGGTTCTCCTCGAAGATATTCAATACCAGATACTGACATGCACAGAACATTTGTACAGGTAAAATGTGATTTAAAAGTAATTTATTTATTATTGTTATACATGAAGGTCTGCCTTTGCTTTATACACGACCCATTAATCCGCTTATAAATTTCAGAAGCCAAAGACCCCAAAGTGTTCTCCAATCCCCTGTACCAGCATCCACATAGCAATGACCTCCCACACAATGCCTCCATTGGATTGTCTACTCCAGATGCAAACACTAAAGTCTCCCCAATAGAACTTTTACCAAACAAGAAGCGAGCGAGAGATGGGGGGCCAGCACCTAAAATCACTAAACAGGGAAGGAAGAAAGAGCATTCAGAACACAGGTACTGGACTAATGCACGCACTGCATGGACTAACCACAGTTCTATTTTTGTGGCCTTAAAAACCTGTTGACTATAGTATGATTACAAAAATTAATGTTACCTGCACTGACGATATTATATGAGCTGATTGATATGGAGTCCTTTGGGTTAGGATTATCTACACAGATATTATAGAAGCTTGTTGTAGTACAGTTACTAACCCTGGGGTTGGAATTAACTCCTCCTATAACATTCTAGGAGTTCATTGGAGTACAGGTACTAACCCTGGGGCTGCAATTAACTCATAATATGATATTCTAGGGGTTGATATGAGTACAGTTACTAACCTTTGGATTGGAATTAATTCCTCTTATGATATTCTAGGAGTTGATTGGAGTACAGGTACTAACACTGGGGTTGGGAGTTACCTACATAGATAATATGGGTACTCAACATTGGGATTGAGTTACCATGATCTTGCCTCATTTATTAAAGGATTACGTTGATATACAAAGTAGTAGAAAAAGGAACTGAAAGCTGTATTTTTCTTCATGGTTTTAGCATGCTTGGGAGATTGCTGAAGGATTCCAGTAGCTGGAAGAGAACAGAGTCAAAGTTTGTGCAGACACGTGAGTACCTGCTTGTCTTTGGGACGGCACAAGGGACCCCAGGATATTAAATGTAGATGTGGTAACTTGGACAGAGCCAAATCAACCGTGCAGTCTGCTCTGTATGATGTGTCTTAAGTGGATGTCTTATTTCCTTCTAGAGCCACTCTACCAGGATTATTGGATGCAATGTACAAAGGATGGCACGCTTTCGGTGGAATCTTCAATCACTTTTAATGGCATTTTATCTTCCTCTTTTCTTGGGGGGTCTTCCGGCACCCTTAGCCCCCATGACTACACAACTTCTTTATGGCAAGAGCTCCCTGAGGTGAAGGAACATGGAATCGCAGATGGAATCAATGTTCATCAGCTCCAGCTTCAAGAGGTATCAAGGTTTAGGGCCGAGCCCAGGCCTTTCTGTTCACAGCCGAGCACTATGAAACAGTAAGTGGGCAGTCTGTTGTTCACTTGTATAAGCTTTTTTTTTTTTTTTTTTTTTTAACTGAAGGCTATTTTTGAGGTAGTGACATCTGAAGCCTCATATCAGCGCAGTCTCACGGTTGCCATTTGCCATTTTCAAAATTCACGCAAGCTTTCTGAGTGTCTGGTGAGCACAGAAAAACACACACTATTCTCTAACCTTCCTGGAGTCCGAGTGGTCAGTGAGAGGTGGGTATCATGAGAATTCCATCCCACATAAAGCTGGTAACAAGTTACTTTTATCACTATATATGGCTCTCTAAATAAATCCAAGAGATGCTGGGTTTTTTAAAGTATGCAAATGTTGAGTAGGGCTTTTTTGTTTTTGTTTTTTTCTATTGGTTTCTGTGTTTTGTAGGTATGTAATTTGGAGATTTCTAATTCTCTGTTCCACAGACAGAGAGTAAAAGTTTTAGACTGTCTTCCCATCCTGGCCTGCATCTCGAAGTTTGATTAGCTGTCTCTGCTTTAAAGTATCTCTTCATTTCACCAAGATATCCTCAACCATGTCTGCAGGTTCCTATTGGATCTAGAGGATGGCCTGGAGAAAGATGTATTTCTACATGAGATTGGAAACCTGGTTTTACAGCACTGTCCAGACTTTCACCGGGTCTATGTGCCATATGTCACCAACCAGATGTACCAGGATAGGCTGATTAAACAGCTTGTGTAAGATGTAATTTTTTTATTTTAATTTTAAACTGCTCTCTATATTTATATCTAACAGACATTCCTCATGTAACATGCCTTTTCGCTTCCTTTACAAAACAAGCCAAGAGAACAGGAAGTTTCTTCAAGTTCTTCAGAAGCTTGAAGAGCAATCTGTATGCAAGAGGCAGCCCTTGAAATCCTTCCTTGTTCTTCCCTTCCAGAGAATAACCCGTCTGAGAATCCTGCTTGAGGTGAGGAACACTGGCTATGTTGGAATCTTGGAATCTCCAGTAAAAAAGCCTGGAGTGGTTTCCAATTTTGGGTGCCAATGGCTGGTAGCCAGGAGTGGGTACCTAGGTCACGGTATACTGAATAATAATTTTTTGACTTCTCCCACAGAATATCCTAAAGTTGGCACATGACAGCCCTGAATTGGCCAGTTCAGTGGGGAAAGCTTTAGCCACTGTTGGCCAGGTATGCAAAATGGTCTTCTGATTGCTCTCTCCTTTATACTTATGATGCTGCTTGAGCAAATATTTCAAGATATATCCCTGCCTGCACTTGACTAACCTCCATCTCAGAATCAAATGTCATTAAATGAGGAACAGTTCATTCGTTCACAAGTTTCTTATTTAGATATATTCATTTGCGACAAGGATACACAAATATCAATTGGTTTTTACCATTATAGTTTATTTTACTCCTTGCACCTGGGGATGCTAAAAGTGACGCTTATTACTGTTTTTTTTTTTGTTTTTTTTCCATTAGATTGTGTCTGGATGCAATGAGGGTGTGAGGAGTATGATTCAGACAGAGGAGCTGGTGTTGCTGGAGAAGAGGGTGGATTTTGTAAATCTCAAGGTGAGTCCCGAACATGGCTTCTTTACACTTCTCTTGATAATCTGACCTTGAAGCCAGATCTGGTCAAAGGTAATTGGACACACAGTGACAGATTTATTTTATTTGCCAATCGAAGACACGGAATTAATTTTAACATTTACTCTAAGGCCTAAGTCAAAGTTCTTAGTGTCATCTGTTCAAATCTGAGTAGATCAGATAGGTAAGAAATCGAAACCTTTAGCCACAGAAACTTTGTATTCCATTCTTCTCTTAAGAGCACTATATGTGATCATACGTAGACTGGTAGTTCTATGGAAGTATTTAAGAAAATAAGTTCTCAACATTTAAAAAGTATTTCAGCATTAAATTTATTATAAAAATTGTATTTAATTATTTGAAGAATCAGATTTCTGTCTGCATAAACCCTCATTTGGGATGATGGCTTGTGGTGGTTTAACCTGTAAGTTTGTAAAGTCTAAAGTAGTTAAAATTTCAGTTTATAATAAGCATTCTTTTGTAAACTATGTTTACCCTTTCCCTCTTTCGTGCAGTCTTTTCCCCTGATCTCCCGTGGCAGAGTCCTTCTCCAGCACGGCGAGCTCGCCCAAATACTGTTCAAGGAGGTAGGAGTTGTCAGTCGTCCTTGTCTGTCCACCAAACCAATCTACCTCCACCTGTTCAGTGACTTGCTGCTGCTCTCCAACAAAACGGAGTAAGTGTCCATGGGGTGACCACTATCAGAAAACTGTGCAGGAACTTGTGGAGTACTTTTATTGAAAGTTAATTCCTTTCTCCAGCTATGATATGGTGAGAGATGGAATTAAACAACTCGCCTGGGATAAAATTCTAAAAGTGGTGCTGTGTCCAAGGAAACCAGTGGAATTAATCTTTGGACTGCTCTGCTTTTAGCACTTTATATCAAATTTGCTTTGTGTACAGAAACTATATTGTTGGCTTGTCTAAGACTGATATCCATGTTAAACCTTGTTAAACTCCATCGCTTCAGCGCTCTGAATCTTTGTTCTCAGGAACATATATTTCATTAGAACTTTTTGGAAATTGTCTACAAGCTCGGTAACTCTAATCATAGGCATTTCTTCCATCCAGACACGGGCGCTTTATGGTAACTGATTATGCCAGCAAAGGACAAGTGCAAGCAGACAATCTGAAAGCAAAGGCCCTGGGGCTTCCAGATTTGGCCTTCCTGCTGCGGCTGAGCTGTAACCATGCTGGCATCAGCCGTGAAGTTATCCTCAAAGCCAGCAACAAGTGAGTGAGCTGGAATTGGAGTAAGCGGCACACACTTGTATTGAAGGAAATTGTACAAACTACTGTTCTGTTCTTTTGTTCTCTAGAAAAGAGATGCAGTACTGGATTTCTGTCATAACTAGTCACATGCTGAGTGAGTCAAACTGCTAAATTTTATGACCTGCAACATTTACTGTAAGTTGGACTTCTCAACATTGCTTTAGATTTCCCCTCAACCTAGTGAAATACAGAAACTGGCTTGTCTGAACTTGACCATAGCCTCAGTAGATTGCTATAAATGGTTCCTCCTTTTGAAAAAAACATTTAATGATGCCGATACATTGAACTGCCCAACAGTATTCCAAATGATATGCTTTAGGTGTGAAATGAACCAGTATCACAATGTGTAAGCACTTTAAGTGACAGCCTTCATACCAGGAGCACATGCAGCCTAGTTACTGCCGGCTGCATGTTCAAACCATGTCAGTCAAAATCATAAGCATCCACTCCATAAAATGGTGCAGTGGAACCCCACGGGTGGGTTCAGTTTGTAGTCTGAAGGGACAAGATACATGGAATATTTATGCTCTACGACACTGGTTTCTGAGGTTGTCTCAAGGGAAGATTTTAATTTTTAAAATAAATATAACTTTAAATTTTACTGATCCTTCTCCACTTTCCTGATCTCTCAGTGATGGCCACGTTCTAATACAATGTCTCATGGATAAATGCTTGCTGCCAATACCACTGGCAGCTTTTTCTTTTATCTGCTTTACTGGATCCCAGGGTAAAAAATAACTCTCCTGATAGGTTATCGAAATATGCAGCACATCTATTTTTAGATATCTTAACTGTGCTCTCAATTAGGTACCTGATTAAACCATGAAACAGCCCTGAGGCATGCAATAGAATGTCCATGTCATAGGCCAATTGTCTGACCCAGCCCAGATAATGCAATGTCGCTGTATATTAATAGACAGTATGAGGCATCTGTCAGTCTCACGTCAGCGAGACCCACACTCCCCATAGGCCTCTCCAATAGCGGAATCTCCCCAGCTGGCAGAACAGAATGCACAATGAGCCATACTTCAGCTTCCTCCAACACTCTAAAGAGCCTTATTTATTTTCGCCATAATATTTTTATACTAGACGGGTTCACATTTTCTCATGTATTTTTTTTTTTTTTTAATATAGCAGTTTTGAATTTTTGAAAAACTAAACGCACCTCTGATCCATTTCACCTTCCTAGGTAAATCTCCCAAGAGTGTGGAGCATTTTAATGTCACATGAAGTCACATTGATAATGCAGACGTGTATATTCCACATTATCAAGTCAGCGGAGGGGGCAATCTCTGGGTAATAGGGAGAACCTGTTTGTTTTTTGTCAAACTGCTGTAGTATCATTTTTGCCGTCAGCTAAGACCCTTTAAAAAACTGATTCTATATGAAACAAAAAGTTTAACATTGTAAAATAATTGAACACTTTAAATATGGAATCTGACGAGAATATATATATTAAACTTTTTAATTTTTTTTATTTATTTATTTTTATTGAATGCTGCAGTTTTTAAACCAGAGTAATAATTTAACAAGTATTTTCTATTTTCCAGACAAATCGGCATATTGAGGCAGGAGAACAGATCATTCTAGTGGGAGATCTGCGCATAATCCAGGAGCCTGAATTAGTAGAATTCAGTGATTACATTGCAAATACTGATTGTGATTGGCTTTCCACTACCACTAGGGAAATGACTGGGTTGTGGAAGGACATGCGGCGTGTCTGTGTATTTCAGGCAACAGACCAACAGTAATCCTACGCTGCCGTTGTGTAAATTCAGTTTCTTCATCAATTTATCAATGCTGTAAAAACTGTGCGTTTATAACTTTTCTTTTTTTTTCTTCCTTCCCCCCACTATTTTGTCCTATAATGTCAAATTCACTTAGAATTCACAACAATGAACTCTTTAGTGAATAGGTGTGTTGTTCTACCGGCTGAGTTAACCCTTAGAAATACACGTTACACTGGAACTGTTGACTTTAATGTTTCAAGAGAGGCTACTTTTTCCAGGAAACATACCTACTACTTCATGTTCGTGGGCAGCTAATGAAAAGTGCTGCCCAACTTTATGTATACGTTGTATGCTGTAGGAGAGAAAATCAGTTAAACAGAGGAAACCGAACTTCTTTAATTAATCTACCTCCTGTAGCACGTGGGGTGGGAGGGGGGTGATGAATCTGCAGATTGCAGTTGGAGTTAACTGTAGAGATATCAGTTAAGCCCCCCCATCCTTGGTCTAAGAATTTAACTGCCTGTTTTAAATGTACATTGTTATTGATGTTTGCTGTTTGTTCCCTGTTTTGTGTTTAAAATAAATAGTTTTAATGATTTTTGTATGGCTGCTGATCTTATTAACACACCTCGCTAGATAATCTGAGAGCAACTGGAGTCACTCACTACCTGAAGTTTACAGCAGGTGGCAGCAGTGGGCTGTACCTGATATCACCCCAGACATGTTAGGCTTTTAAATTTCCTGCACATGTGACCTCGAGGAATGTATCACTGTATTATCTGTTGGTTTCCATGTCTTGAAACTGGATGTTACTCAAGGCTGCCATGGGAATTCAATAACCACTCACAGATATGGTCTGTATACCATGCCAGATGCATAATGTTTGCAAATGGAACAATATGCTTTGTAATAAGACACTTTGAAGAGTGTTTATAAAATAATTGTCTAAACTTAATTAATGACCTATCACTTGTCATAAAAACATCATGTTATCATTTGCTCAACTCCATGCGGAGTGGGGATTCGGCAATAAATCTATTGTCCGTTAAAAGGCTGTTGGAGGGGAATAACTTTATAATGTAACTCTAAAGCGCTACGGAATCTGTTGGCGTTATATATAAATGGCAATAATAATATCAGACTTTATAGCAAGTCTGAGAATATTCACTGCAAACTGATTATTACAGTTTAAAAGGACAATATAGTCTCACAGACTACTGCATCTCATTGAAGAGGTCTGGGTGCAGTGTCCCTGTCCTCTTAGCCCTGCAATGTAAAACACTGCATCATCAGAGAACTGCAATGTTCAGTCCGTAAAACAACACTTTTGCATGAGGATGTCCTGCGCATTCTAAATCCCTGCAGGAAAGCACTGAGTCAATGCTTTCTTATGAGGAAGGCCTAAAGCAGGCATAGGCAACCTCCCATGATGCTTTGCCAGCACTATAGCTGTAAGAGCATTATGGGGTGCCGAAGGTTGCCTACCCCTGGCCTAACGCATGCGCGTGTTCGCCACTCCTGCGCATTGGGTTCCCCCAATTGACTGACATTGGAGGAGGAGCTGGACCCATCACCGAGGTATATCCTCACTGGACTCTTTCTATTGATAGGAATACAAAACTGTCTAAGCTCTGTCCTTTGCACCTGGCAGTCCGCATAGAGAGAGCATACACAGAAATGGAGAAATTAAACTGTCTATTGCTCCTGCTCATTTGCAATGTACGACCTGTCTGAACTGGATTGTGATGTAATTTGTTAAATTTTTAAAGGGGTACTATAGTAACGACAACAGCTACCACTTAATGTAGTGGCTCTGGTGTCTATAGCCTGTCCCTGTAGGCTTTTCAATGTAAACACTGCATTTTGAGAGAAACGGCAGTGTTTACCTTACTGCCTAGTAACACCTCTAGTTGCAGTCACTCAGACGGCCACTAGAGGTGCTTTCTGTGTCAGTGGCTGCATCTACATTCAGTGTCTCCACTCTCTGCATGGAGGCACTGAACGTCCCCATAGAGCTGCATTGATTCAATGCGTTTCTGAGGAGATGCTGACTGACTGACTGACCGGCTGAGATAGTTAAAATTGATCTCCGCAATGGAGGTGGGGCTAGCTGCGGCGAGACGGCACATAATGGTGAAAAAAGGTGAATACAATTACTTTTTCAGAGCGATCTGGGGGCGGGGGGGAGTGGTGTTGACCTAAACGGGCACTATAGTGTCAGGGATGTATTCCTGACACTATATGGTTATTTTAAATATAAGTAAACAAAGATAGGTTATGGGTGATGAATATCCCAGAGAAGTGACAGTTCTTTAAATTTAGGCAAAAATAGCTGAACTAAAATTAATCTTCAAGTGTTGACAGTTTGATTATTTTACCTTTGAAATTCACTTTAAAGTGCTGACAATTGACGCTTAAGTGAAAAAAACCTGGCGGTGATTGTCCTAGAGTGCAGCGGCAATACTAATAATACCAGTTAATGTTTGAGTCTGAATGCCTAATTTCTGTACAAATAAAGTAACCCATGTGAAGTATCAATTGCCAAGATTCATTCATACTCGTCTGTGTTTGTTTTGCTTGATGTTAGTGGATATGGGCGCTAGCTGTGACAGGTTGCTGATGAACAGATAATGAAATCATAAAGCATATGCTGCTTCACTTCAGGCTGTTATTAACCTATTACATCTAAATATAAATAATTATATGCAAAAACTAGATCTTAAAAATACGATGGAACATGAAATATATTTCTTTCTGTTACATAGTTACTTGCGTCCGTCAAGTTCAGCCTTCTTCACATATGTTTTTGCTGTTGATCCAAAAGAAGGCAAAAAACCTAGTATGAAGCATTTCCAATTTTGCAACAAACTAGGAAAAAAATCCTTCTTGACCCCAAATAGCAGTCAGATGTCTCCTTGGACCAAGCAGCTATTACCCCACTAATTAGAAATGATATCCCTGTATGTTATGTTTTTGCAAGTATTTATCCAATTGCAGTTTAAACATCTGTATGGACTCTGATAAAACCACCTCTTCAGGTAGATAATTCCATATCCTTATTGCTCTTACTGTAAAAAAACCTTTTCTTTGCCTTAGATGAAATCTCCTTTCTTCCAGCCTAAATGTGCCCCTATTTATACATGACAAAACCTTACTGGCCTTAGCAACAGCAGATTTACATTGCATATTGCTGCCTAATTTGTTGTCTATTACAATTCCCAAATCCTTCTCGTGTGTGGTTATCCCTAATTCACTACCATTTAGGGTGTAAATTGCTTGTGCATTCTTAACCCCGAAGTGCATAACTTTGCATTTCTCCATGTTAAATTTCATCTACCATTTTAGTGCCCAGTCCCTCAATCTATCCAAATCCCTCTGCAG